AGCACGGCTGCTCCTCGCTGGTCCTGCGGTCACAGGGACGGCATTGTCACCTCCGTGTCCCCCACAGGGACCCCCAGCTCCAGGGCCACGATGCCACAGAGCCACCAAAGGGACGGCGCTGCCCAGGCGGCACCGGGCCGGGGTGGTGGCAAGGCCGTGCCGTGGGGTTTGGGTGCCACCCGGGGGGGTTTGGGAGCTGGGGACACCCCGGGGGTGGTTGGTGCTGCCCCATTCCCCACTCACCGCAGGCACCGCCGGCTGCGCAGGGCGACGCCGTCCCCACAGGAGCTGGAGCAGGAGCTCCAGGGTCCCCAGGACCCCCAGGTCCCCCGGGGCCGAGCAGGGGCTGGGGGCTCGGGGACCCTCACTGGTGTCCCCAGGGCTGGGTCCTGCGTGAGGAAGGTGATGGTCAGCGCTGGGGGTGGGGTGAAGGAGCCCGGGGGTGCCCCATTCCCCCCCCCAGGTGCCCCCCAGCCCCCTCACCTGCGCCGTGCCCACCAGGCTGAGCCAGGCCAGCAGCAGCAGCCGCCAGGACCTGCGGAGCAGAGAGCCCTGAGCCCCGCGACAGGGGGGGACACCGGGCTGTCCCCCAGCCCAGCATCGCCACCGAGGCGGGGCCACCACCGAGCCCCCCCCACCGGGGACCCCAGCCAGGGGGAAGGGGGTGAGGGGGCCAAGCCCAGACCCAGCGCGGGGGTCCCCAGGGAGGGGATGTGGGGTCTGGTGCCACCAGCGGGGGCAGGCGGGTGGGGGACACGCAGTGGGTGATGCTGGGCGGTGACGCGGGGTGGGTGACACGGGGTCGGCGGTGACACAGGGTCGGCGGTGACACACGGTGTCCCCCACACGTGCCCGCGCAGCCCCGGGACGGGCGACGGCCCCGCCGCCCCCAGGGCCCCGCGGCGGGCGCCGGGCCGGGATCGCTGCCTGCCGGGGCAGGACCAGACCTGCACGCCGGGGCTCCCGCGTCGCTCCCCGATCCGGATCCGGCCCCGCCGTGGGGCGAGCAGGGTGGGGGGCAGCGGGAGGCCCCCACGCCCCACAGCGCCCGATCCTGCAGCACCCAGAGCGCCCAGCCCGGGGCTGAGGGAGGTGCCGGAAGGGTGCGGGGGGTGCGGGGGTCCCATCCCCGTGTCGGGGAATCCCCCGGCCGGGCCGGTTCCGTCCCGCCGCGCAGCTCCCACAGCGACCGGGGGTGGCCACCGGCAGCCCCCGGCTCTGGGTCCCCCCAGCAGAACAGGGGAAGGGCCGGGGGGGGGTCGCGCTGCCGCCGCTCCGGCAGCGTCCGACCCCGCTGAGGCTCGGGCGATGCCCGGTGGGTGATGCCCAAACCCCGCTGGCAGCGCGGGGGGCACCGCGTGCCTCAGTTTCCCCGCAGGAGCTCCGGGAGGGGCGCGGAGTCGCGGGGCGGGGGGGTCCGCGAGGGTTAAAGCAGAAACCAGGAGCTTACCCGGCAGCGTGGGGTCCCCCGCGGGGGTCCGAGCCGCCGCCACGGCCCCCCCCGGCCATGCCGCCCCTCGTCCGCCGCGTCCCGGCGGCTCCGTCCCGGCTCGGCGTCCCGGCGGCGGGGAGCGGGGGGGACCCGGGGCCAGCGGGCATCGCCTGCGCAGCTCCGGGGGGGCCGGGCGAGGCTTCCCCCCCCCCGCCACACACACACACCCTCCCCGTTCGCCTCCCGTCCCTCCCCGCCGCGTTATTAATATCCAGCCCCAAAGGTGCGCCCAGCCCTCCCCGGCCGCCCGTTAACCCTTGGGGGCCCGGAGCTCCGGCGGTCGGGGGGGGGGCTGGTGGCCTCCCGGGTGCTGTAAAACAACATCAGCGCCCCCCCGGGACCCCTCAGCCCCAGCGGCGGAGGGAAAGAGGCACCAGGACCTCCCTGCGCGGTCGGATCCCGATCCGGGACCCGCCGGTGCTGGGCATCCCCGAGGGCCGGGACCCCCGCAGGGGTCTCCGCTTTGTGACCGGGGCCTTCTGAGGGGGCTCGGGGGGCCAGAGCGGTGGGTGTTGGGGGCGGGGGGGGCACCCAGCACCCCTGGGCGCCGTGGACAGCCGCAGCCGGAGCTGAAGGGGTTACAGCGTCGGGGTGCGGGTGTCCCTCGGGGTGTCCCCGGCGCCGAGCAGAGCGGGCAGGATGGGCCCGGGGAGCGCAGGGGCTGAGCCCCCCCCAGGCTGGTACCTCCGGGACGAGGGCACCGGGACGCTCTACAAGCGGGGACGGCTCCTGGGAGAGGTAAATGCCCTGAACTGCCCCCCCTGAACTGCCCCCGAGGGTCCCGATCCAAGGGGGACCCACCCCATCCTCTCCAGGGAAGGGGAAACTGAGGCACGGGACTGAGTCCCAGCCGCTCCGCTCCCGGGGCTCCTTGCCCCACACCTGGGTGGGCACCCCAACCCCCGCTGCCCCTTCCCACGGGGGCACTCGCAGGGCACCTTCGGCCGCTGCTACCAGGTGACAGAGGTGACCAGCGGCCGGCGCTACGCGGCGAAGGCGATCCCGAGAGCCCGGCTGGCTGCCGCGGGCATCGGGGACAGGGTGAGTCCGAGGGGACAGTGCCCGGGGAGAGGGGACAGTGCCCGGGGAGAGGGGACAGTGCCCGGGGGGTCCCCGCACAGCCCTCCCCGTGCCCCTCTCCGGGTGTCTGGGTGGGTTCCCGTCCCCGTGGGCTGCGTGCCGGGGGTCCCCGCTCCCCGAGGGTCCCTGAGGGTGCCCCCGGGGCTGCCGGGCTGCTGTCGGTGCAGGTGGAGCGGGAGCGGGAGCTGCAGTGTCGCCTGCGCCACCCGCACATCGTGCGCCTGCACGGGCACTTCGCCGACCGCGGGCACCTCTACCTGCTGCTGGAGCTCTGCAGCCGGGGGGTGAGACCTGCACCCCGAAACGGAGCCCCTGCACCCCGAAACCGGGCTCCTGAACCCCGAAACTGAGCCCTTGAACCCTGAAACCGAGCCCTTGAACCCTGAAATTCTGCACCTCAAAACTGAGTCCCTACACTCCCAAACCGAGCCCTTGAACCCTGAAACTGAGCCTAAACACCCCAAAACTGAGTCCCTACACCCCGAAACTGAGTCTCTACACCCCAAAACCGAGCCCCTGAACACCAAAACTGAGCCCTCTCAGGCTGGGGTGAGGGTCAGCAGAGCCCAGCCTGGTGCCTTGCTCTGTCCCCAAGGCCCCCCTTGCTCTGTCCCTGTCCCTTTCACTCCATCCTCAGTCCCTGTCACTCCGTCCCCTGTCCCCTTTCATTGTCCCCAGTCCCTTCTCAGTGTCCCCAGAGCGCTGTCGCTCTGTCCCCAGTCCCTCCTCAGTGTCCCCAGCCGCTGTCGCTCTGTCCCCAGTCCCTCCTCAGTGTCCCAGCCGCTGTCGCTCTGTCCCCAGCCGCTGTCGCTCTGTCCCCAGTCCCTCCTCAGTGTCCCCAGTCCCTCCTCAGTGTCCCAGCCGCTGTCGCTCTGTCCCCAGCCGCTGTCGCTCTGTCCGCAGTCCCTCGCTGACATCCTGCGGGCGCGGGGCCGCCTGACGGAGCCCGAGGTTCGCTATTACCTGCGGCAGCTGCTCTCGGCCCTGCGGTACCTGCACGGCCACGGCCTCGTGCACCGGGACCTCAAACCGAGTGCGTGGGGCTGGGGGGGACCCGGGGGTGACCCCAGGGTGACCCGAGGGTGACACAATTCGTGTCACTCCCTCCCTCAGGTAACTTCTTGGTGACGGAGAGGATGCGGGTGAAGATCGGGGACCTGGGGCTGGCCCAGAGGGCGGCACCGCCCGGGCGGCGCTGGGGGTGAGCGGGGCTGGGGGCGCTGCGGGGAGGGGGTTTCACCCTGCCCGTGTCCCCAGGGGTCACCGCCGCTGTCCCCACCTCAGGGCGCTCTGTGGGACACCCGGGTACCTGGCCCCGGAGGTGCTGGAGCGCAGGGGACACGCGGAGCCCGCGGATGTCTGGGCACTGGGGTGTGCCGTGTGAGAGGGGATGGGGAGGGCGGGGGGGAGTGGAGGGCGGGGGGGAGTGGAGGGAGGGGGGACGTGAGGGGAGGGTGGGGGGAGATGGAGGGAGGGAGGGAGGGAGGGGGAGATGGAGGATGAGGGGAAATGGAGGGAGGGTGGGATGAGGGGAGATGGAGGGAGGGCAAGGGGAGATGGAGGATGAGGGGAGATGGAGGGAGGGTGGGATATAGGGAGATGGAGGGAGGATGGGAGAGATGGAGAGATGGTGGGATGAGGGGAGATGAAGGGAGGGTGAAACGAGGGGAGATGGAGGGAGGATGGGAGAAATGGAGAGGGCAAGGGGAGATGGAGGGAGGATTGGATAAGGGGACATGAAGGGAGGGTGGGATAAGGGGACATGAAGGGAGGGTGGGATAAGGGGATATGGAGGACGGGGGAGCAGGAAGAAGGACGGAGAGGCTGTAGGGAGGACAGAAAGGAGGAAGAGGAGTGATGAAGGGAGGATGGAGAGGCTGCAGAGAGGACAGAGGAGCCAGAGGAGTGACAGGGACACTGGAGGGAGGAAGAGGGGTGCTGGAGGAAGGCCAGGGCACGGCAGGGAGCAGGGGCCGCTCCCCCGCAGGTACGCGGCTCTGACCGGCCACGCCCCGTTCGAGGCTCGCCACCGGCCGGAGCTGTTCCGGCGCATCCGCAGCGCTCGGTACCCGCTGCCCCCGGGGCTCTCCGGCCCTGCCCGCGCCCTCATCGCCCTCATGCTGCAGCCCGAGCCCGCGGCACGGCCCGGCCCGGCCCGGCTGCTGCTGCACCCCTTCCTCAGCCAGGTGCGGGGCTGGGCCGCGCCGGGGACACTGAGGGACACTGAGGGACACTGAGGGACACGCGGGGGTCACCGCCTGTCGCTCCCCAGGGTTTCACACCCCGCACGCTGCCACCCCGCGCCTGCCACTCCGTGCCCATCTTCGTGGGACAGGAGCCCCTCTGCTGGATGCTGCAGGGGCTGCGGTGCTGGCGGGGGTGTGGCTGTGTCCCTGTCACCCCTCCCCAAAGGACCCGAGCCCGAAGATCCGCGGAGGAAAACCTTTATTAGTGCTGGGAACCGTCTAAAATCCAGTCATGGAAAACAAGCAGGGGGTGGGACGTGACCAGTACGAACGGCGCACACACACACGCACACACACACACACACACACACACCAGTTTGCCCTTTAAAACTGTTAACAGGAAAAAAAAACAACCCCCGAAATCCAAACCTCCAAAATAAAAAGGAGCTCTCTCTTCCCTGCCAGCCTGGGATGGGGATGAGGATGGGGAGGTGCAGCTCCATGTCCTGGTGCTGGGACTGGAGAGGTGCCAGGTCACCCCCATGGGGCAGTGGGGACACTGGAGAGGGGACAGAGGGAGGAAAGTGCGTGGTTTCCCTGTTCAGCTTCACTTCTCTCTCCCTCTGAGAGAGGAGTCAGAGAAAACGCTGAAAAGCTCAGTAAAACAGGACACTAAAAACACCCAGGGGCGGCCCGGAGGCCGTGCCTAAAACACAGAGGGGAGGGGACAAGGACAAGATGCTCGAGGTGGCCCCAGCAAGCACCAAGGAGCCGCTTCCAGACCCGCCCAGGGGGCGTCACCGACCTTCCCGTGTCACCAGCGGGGCCTGGGGGACAGAGGTGACAGCAACGACTGTGTCTGCACTGGGGGGGAGCCTCGTCCCAGCGCCAGAGCCGCGCTGGTGACAAAGGACAGGGAACAGCCTGCAGTGCTGGGGTGGTGGCAGTGAGCTGGGGCACTCAGCTGTCACTCGTGTCCCCAAACTACGGCAGAGAGGCAGGGATGGATCCCACGGCCCTGAAATGGCCTCACACAATGCACCCGAGGCTGGAAGGGGTGGGACACAAATCCCAGCTCCCCCTGAAGCTCCTCAGCCCCCAAGGAAGCCCCAGACAGGGGTCAGGAGCCTTGTGCCACAACACCCTGTGCCACACAGGGTCCTGGGGCACGCTGGGGACAGCCTGGGGCAGGTGGCACAGCCCGGGCTGGCTTGGGGCACACACTGGGGACAGCCTGGGGCAGGCGGCACAGCCCGGGCTGGCTTGGGGCACACTGGGGACAGCCTGGGGCAGGTGGCACAGCCCGGGCTGCCTTGGGGCACGCTGGGGACAGCCTGGGGCAGGTGGCACAGCCCGGGCTGGCTTGGGGCACACACTGGGGACAGCCTGGGGCAGGTGGCACAGCCCGGGCTGCCTTGGGGCACGCTGGGGACAGCCTGGGGCAGGGGGCACAGCCCGGGCTGGCTTGGGGCACACTGGGGACAGCCCGGGCTGGCTTGGGGCACGCTGGGGACAGCCTGGGGCAGGTGGCACAGCCCGGGCTGCCTTGGGGCACACACTGGGGACAGCCTGGGGCAGGTGGCACAGCCCGGGCTGCCTTGGGGCACGCTGGGGACAGCCTGGGGCAGGTGGCACAGCCCGGGCTGGCTGCTGCCCCTCCCGTGGCCGGCAGCTCAAGGCCTGGCACGGAGCCCAGGGATATTTTTATCCCGGCATTTGTGTTGTTTGAAGCTGTCAGCTCGGGTGTTTTCAGTCATAAACACAACCCTGCCCTGTCCCAGGAGCTGACAGCAACAGCAACACCCTCAGCTGCCACAGCCTGAGCCCCTGGCTGGCCTGGGGTGGCCCCAGGATGACCCTGAGATGGCCCTGGGACACAGAGGCCACAGAGGTCCCCAAAGCTCCTGTTCTGGAACATCTGCACTGGCCACCTCTGTCCCCCTGCCAGGCAGGAAGGTCCCTGAGGGGTTCAGGGCAGGATGTTCCAGTTAATTCCCTGTGGGTTTTGAGCTCTGGGATCTCCCCATCTTTTCTGCACAGCCAAGAGCTGCCCAAAGATGGGGAGAGCAGGACTGTCCCTGCCCTGGTGACAACTGTGTCACAAACCAAGCCAAGGTGGCAACAACAACAACAACGAGGCTTCTTAAAAGAGAAGGAATTTAAAAACAAAGATTCAAGTTTGGGAACTCCTCTCCCCCTCCTCCCTGGCTCCAAACGAGGCCAAAACTCACCCTTGTGCAGAAACCAGGTTCAAAGTTCAGCCAATTGGTGAGGGTGACCCACAACCCTGTGGTGACAAGGGCAGGTCACCTCTGTGTCACCACAGAGCCCCGTCCCAAAGCCCAGGAGGGGCTCAGAGGGGCAGCTCCAGGCAGGGGGTGTTTGGTGACAGGAACCAGGCGAGGGCAGGTGCGTGGGCAGGAGCTTCCCCCCCTGCCAGGGCCCAGCAGCACCTCTCAGGCTGAAGGCACCGAGCTGCTCTCCACCTTCAGTCCCTTGCTGGCCAGGAAGGCGTCCTGCTTGGGCTCCCTGCCCAGGAACCTCTTCAGCATGTCCGAAGCATCCACGGAGCCACCAGGATGAAGGATGCACTTCCTGTAATCCATGCCCACCTGTGGGCACACACACACACAGGGCAGGGCTGGCACACCCAGCCTGGCTCCCACAGCCTGGGCACACACACAGAACCCTGCTCCTACCTTGCAGTTCATGATTCCCTCCTGCTTGAAGCGGGTGTGGAACATGTCCATGGAGAACACCTCGCTCCAGAGGTAGCCGTAGTACTGGGCATCATAGCCCCCAGCCAGGTGGCCAAAGGTGGCTGGCATGTTTGTACCTGAGGGGACAAAAGGGGTCAAAAGGGACCCCCCATGGAAAAAAAAAAACCCTCCAGTGCTGCCCCAGCTGTTCACACAAAACCCAGGGGACAAAGGGAGGAACTTTCCAGGCTTTTCCAGCCCTGCTTTTCCCAGAGCCAGCAGAAATCGTCCCCCACACGGGAGGAACTTGCTGAGCTGTTACAGGGCAAGAGGCACAGGAGGGTGGCACGGCGTACCTGGGGTGGCAGGGACACCCAGCACCTCTTCACAGAGCTGGGCAAACACCTCCACGGGGTCAGCCTTGGTCTGGGTGTGCAGTGCCTGGTCCACCTTGGCCAGGACGATCTGGCGCAGGTTGAAGAGCCCTGTTCCCAAAAGGAGGAGGAGGGAAACTGAGGCAGGAATGCTGCCTGCAGGAATGTCACTGAGGCTGGTGGCATCTCTGTCCCTTTCACATGCCACACGTATGGGTTCCTTCCCCCCATCCCCTCAAAACCCCCCAAGCACCATGGCAAGCAAGGAAAAGCCTTTTTTGTCCCCCAGCCAGGTCACTGAGTGTCCCCAGGGGACATCCAGTCCCTCCCACCTGTGTTTGCCTGCCGGGATTTAATGAGTTTCTCCAGCAGCTCATCGGGGATGGGGCTCCCTGTCTTGTAGTGCCTGGACATGCGCAGCAGAGGCTCCTTCTCCCACACCCAGTTCTCCAACATCTGCGACGGGGCCTCCACGAAGTCCCTCTCCACGTGTGTCCCGCTGAACATGGCAAACTCCGCCTGGGGGACACGGCCAGCTCAGAATTCCACGGGAAAACGGGATGGGGGGAAAAGCCCCAAGCTGTGCCAGCGCAGGGAGGCCTCACCTGAGAGCACAGCTGGTGCATGACGTGCCCGAATTCATGGAAATAGGTCTCCACCTCGTCGTGCTGCAGCAGGGAAGGGGCATCCGGCGTGGGCTTGGTGAAATTGGCCACCATGGCGGCCACCGAGATTTGGCGGCTGGAGTCCGGCAAGAGGCAGCCGGGCTGGAGGCCAAAGCAGGCAGCATGGCCGTACTTCCCTTCCCTGGGGAGGGACAGGAGGCTCAGGGATCCTTCCAAAAGCCACACACAGCCATGGCCTCCCCCAGTGTGGTCCTCAGAGGAGCCCCAAGTGACCTCCCCTGCTGATCCCCTTGGTGAGAGCCCAGCACACGGTGCTCTCTCCACTCCACACAGCTTTGGGAGCAGGAATCTCTTCCTCCTCCTCCTCCTCCTCCTCCTCAGGCTCTGCTCCTCCTGCTCCCAGATTTCCCCTCTCCCCAGGTCTCACCGTGGGTACAGGTCCAGGTAGAACTTCCCAATGGTCTCCCCGGAGGACGCGTCCTTCACCGTGTAGAGCTGCACGTCCTCGTGCCACACCTGAGCCTTCTCCTCCAGGTGGAAGGTGAGGCCCAGCAGCTCCTGGTAGATGGCCAGGAGGCCCGTGGTGACCACCTGCATGGGGAAATACTCCTTGAGCAGGTTCTGGTCCACGCTGTACTTGGTCTCCTCCACCTGGTTCATGTAGTAGCGCATGTCCCAGGCGTTGATGCGGTTGTCGAACTCCAGCCCGCGCTTCTCGCACTCCTTCTTCTTCAGGTCCAGGATCACAGCCCGCTCCTTCTCCCCCAGGGGCTTCAGCTTCTGGGCCAGCTCATCTGGGGAAGGCAGGCAGGGCTGGGATCAGGGATCAGAGCAGCACAGCCTGCCCAGGATGTCCCTGCTCGGCCCCAGGACGTACCCAGGAACGTGGCCACCGTCCGGCTGCTCTTGGCCATGTTCATCTCCAGCACAAAGTCAGCGTGGGTGCTGAAGCCCAGCAGATTGGCCTTCTGAGCCCTCAGGTCCACCAGCTCCTTCAGGATCAGGCAGTTCTCCTGCAAGGCAGAGAGTGAAGTACACAGGTGGTGCTGCTGTGGGTCCCCAGGACAAGGTGAGAGATGAGAATTTGATTCCATGTTCTCAGAAGGCTGATTTATTATTATTTTTATTAAATTATACTGTATTACGTTGTATTAAGTTGTATTACGTTGTATTACATTGTATTACATTGTAATATATTATATTGTATTGCATTATATTATGTTGTATTATATTATATTATGTTGTATTATATTGTAATATATTGCATAATATTGTAATGTATTGTATTAAATTCTATTTATTATATTGTATTGTAATGCATCGTATGGCACTATGTTATAAAATCATATACTAAAACTATACTAAAGAAAGAATCTATCAGAAAGTTAGAAAAAAAATTATAATAAAACCCCGTGACAGACTCAGAGTCTGACACAGCTGGCTGTGATTGGTCATTAAATTAAAACAATTTACATGCTTAACAAACAATTCTCTAAATCACGTTCTAAAGCAGCAAAACAGAGAAGCTGAAGCTTCCCAGGAGAAGAATTTTAATATTTTATGAAAAAATCCTGGCGAAGGGATTTTTTCATAAAATATCATAGTAACACCCACAGGGGAGAAGGGAAGCAGTGTGGAAAGAAACACAAATCATTCCCTGGGTCAGTCCCACCGACCTCTTTGCACCTGGAGTTGAACATTTCTTCCACCTTCCTCCTGGTCTCGGGCACGTAGCACTTCTTCAGCAGGGGGAAGTAGTGTGGGTACTTGAGGGTGACCTTCAGCTTCCCGTCCTCTGTCTTCTCCAGGGAGTTCAGGAAATCCTCAGGGAGCCCCCCTGGGAAAAGAGCAGGCAGGGGCTGAGCCCAGGACTCTGCAGGAATTCTCTGGGGTCACTCAGGGCCCTGCCAGCAGAGCGTTCCATACCCAGCTCCTCCCTGGAGAAGGGCAGGAAGGTGGTGTCCTCGTTGAGGTTCTTGTTGAAGTCGATGCACAGCACGCTCAGCTTCTTCTTGATGGCTTTGATTTTCTTCAAAACGCAGAAAATCAGAGAGAAGTCAGAGCTGGGGGTTGGGGGCACTCAGGCTGCTCCCACCCTGCTGAGCTGCCCAGCACTGAGCCAGCCCAATTAATGCTGGTGAACAATTAATGATGGTGAGCCAGCAGCCCAGAAAGGCTCCCTGGGGTTACACCTGGCAGGGCTCAGCCACCTCAGCAAGGTCCTGCCTGTTCCCTGCTGCCTCAGGAGCTGCAGGTGCTGCAGTAACAACCTCCCCTCTCCTTATTTTCCCATTTTCTTCTGGTTTTAACCCAGTTTTGAGCTCCTCTGCTGGTGCATGGTAAGAGACGGAGGCCCCTGAGCAGCTCAGCCCGACTCCAGCCCTTGGCACGTGGGGATTTGGTGATAATTCCCCAATTTCACCTCCCCAGGAATTCCTCAACTCCCACTTTGTTAACATCACCCTTTAAAAAGGAAAAAGGGGGGGCTGGAGACACCACCCAAAATCACCTGAATTGGGGACAAAACCCAAACCTGAGCCTCACACCCTGCCCTGAGCCCTGCCACAGCAAGGGGGAATGGATTCAGACTGACAGGAATTAGGATTAGATGGGATATTAGGAAAAAATTCCTTCCCGTGAAGGTGCAAGAGGCCCTGGCACAGATTTCCCAGAGGAGCTGTGGCTGCCCCTTCCCTGGAAGTGTCCAAGGCCAGCTTGGAGCAACCTGGCACAGTGGAAGGTGGGCTTTAAGGTCCCTTCAGCCCAAACCATCCTGGGATTCTGTGCTCTCACCTCCTGTGTCTCCTCGGGGAGGTGGAGCCCGTTCCTTTTCCCCAGCTTGATCAGCCTCTCCAGGTACCTCTTTGCCTCAGGCTTCAGGGAAGCACTCTCTGCTTTCTCCTGGAAAAGAACAAAAATCCCTCCTCCTCCTCAGGGAGCTGCAGGAAGCTGCTTCCCAGTGGGAGAGCCCCAGGGAAGGCTCTGGCTTGGTGCAGAGGTTCCTGTGTCACCTCGGGGCAGGGGCTCCTCACAGATTGCTTTAAACACATCACCTCTGTGCCATGGCAGCATTTTGGGGGCATCACCACTGAGGTGGGTTGGATTTACCAACAAAGGGGAGATCAAGGCTCTGAGTGGGGGCAGAGCCCTCAATCCCAAATTCCCCATCCCTCACTACACCCGGGCCACTCTGCCATGACCCCACCGCGCTCCCTCCCCGCCCCTGCATCCCTCCCTCCTCAGCTCTGGGACCAAGGAAAAGGATTTGCTGGAATTCCAGGGGGTTCCAGCCAGCAAGGGGACAGACCTGGAGCCACATAATCCTCTGGTACACGTCCTGCCTCATGCTCATCTCCACATCAAACTCCGAGAGCTTCTTGTCGGCCTCGGTGCTGGCGGCGCGGATGGCCTTGCAGGGGGACACGTGCTGGGGGAAGTCCAGCATGTTCCTACGGACTGGGGGGACAAAAGGGGACAGGGATGATGGACCAGCATCCCAGGGCACACCCACAGCCAGGCTGGCAGCCCCAGAGCCTTTCCCTCCCCTCACACACACACAGCAGGGGAGAGGTGGGATGAGGCTCCTGCTGCCTTTGGTCCTTTCCCTGCTGCCCAGCACGTCCATCCACTGGATTCCCACCAAAATCCTCCCAAAATCCACGGGAATTCTGTGCCTGTGAGCCCCCAACAGCTCTGACATCACAGGAAGTTTGGGAAGTCCTGTGCAGGGCTCGATGCTCCCTTCCAGCCTGAGGAATTCCATGATTCCTGATGGCAGCAGCGTTCCCTGTCTCCTCTAAAGCCCAAAGTGGGACAATCCCCTCCTACAGACACTTCCCCAAAAGCCACCACGCCCCAGGTGTGCCCTGTCCTGATGCAATTCCATGGAGGAAAACAGGGAGAACATTCCCTGCTGCCATCCCTGCAGAAGCTCCAAGAACAGCACTCCAGGTGCTCTCCAGGCACCTGCATTCCCTCCCCAGGAGGGGCTGAACAGGCAGCTCAGCCAGGGAAGTGCTGACAGCCCTGCTGAGATGAACATTCCTCCTGCTGAGCAAGAGGAATTTTTTTTTTTTCCCAATTATTTTAAGAAAAAAAGAACGGGGAGAGGAAGAAGATGAGGCTGCTCCCTGCCCCAGACAGGTGGGACAGCTCAAGCACAGGCAGCAGCCCAGGTGTCACAAGGAGGGGCCACCTGAATTGTCAGCCTGCTGCAAATTAACCACCAAAACTGCACAGTTTTGGTGCCATCACGTTGTGGTACTCCCCCAAAAAATCCCAGTGGGATTCACTATCCCAAAAAATCCCAGTGGGATTTATTCTCCCAAAAAATCCCAGTGGGATTTACTATCCCCAAAAATACCAGCAGGATTGACTCTCCCCAAAAATCCCAGCAGGATTTACTATCCCAAAAAATCCCAACAGGATTTATTCTCCCAAAAATACCAGTGGGATTTATACTCCCAAAAAATCACAGCAGGATTTATTCTCCCAAAAAATACCAGTGGGATTTATTCTCCCAAAAAATCACAGCAGGATTGACTCTCCCAAAAAAATCACAGCAGGATTTATTCTCCCAAAAAATCACAGCAGGATTTATTCTCCCAAAAAATCACAGTGGGATTTATTCTCCCAAAAAATCACAGTGGGATTGACTCTCCCAAAAAATCCCAGTGGGATTTATTCTCCCAAAAAATCCCAGCGGGATTGACTCTCCGAAAAAATCCCAGCAGGATTTATTCTCCCAAAAAATCACAGTGGGATTTACTCTCCCAACAAATCCCAGCAGGAAACAAGGCACATAGAGAGACATTTGCCCACTGCCCCAGGGAAAACTGAGGAAGGAGGTGAGAGTTTCTTGGATCTTTTCTGCTTCTGTTCCCACTGGTGGCACATGAAAGCCAGGACAGCCTTGGGGAATCAGCTGCTCCTGCTGCCAAAGGGCTGCCCTTGGGTTAATTTGCTTTTCCAAATCTGTTCTTTGTGCTGGTTCCTTGCTGTATAAACATTAACTGGGAATAAAACCAACATTCTGCTGGCAGCCACAGGGAGAGAAAAGCAGGTGACAGCACAGAGCTAAAAAAAAATAAAATCCAAAAATCTTAATTATTGTGGGAGGGTTTGGAAGTGACCTCAAAGCTCAGCCCTGCTGTGGGCAGGGACATCTCCCACTGCCCCAGGGGGCTCCAACCTGGCCTTGGACCCTTCCAGGGGGCAGCCAGAGCTGCTCTGGGCAAGCTCAGAGCCTCCCACTATTGTAAAATCAGGCAACCCCCCTGACTCTATGATATCAGAAGGCTAATTAATAACTTTATTGTAATTATTTTATACTGTATTGCACTACTCTAAACTGAAACCGTACAAACACTCGAAATCTCGTGGCTGTCTCCTGTCAGGACACAGCTTGTAGAGACTGGTTAAGAAAACAAAACACTCACACTAGAATCTAATCAAATTCTTTCAGGTAAATAATTCAACACATTCCATGTGTTTCAAAACACAGGAGCAGCAAATAAGAATTGTTTTGATCTCTGTGCTTCTCCAGCTTCTCCCTTCCAGCTTGAGGAATTCCATGATTCCTGATGGCAGGGATGGCACATTCCCTGCTGCCCAGCACATCCACACGCTGGATTCCCACCAAAATCCTCCCAAAATCCACAGGAATTCTGTGTCTGTGAGCCCCCAAAAGCTCTGCCCCAGCTGTGGCACCCCAGGAGGTTTGGGGAGTTTTGTGCAGAGCTCAATGCTCCCTTTCCAACTCCAGAATTCCATCATTCCTGATGGCAGCAGCTCCTGCTCCCTTTGGTCCTTTCCCTGCTGCCCACCACATCCACCTGCTGGATTCCCACCACAATCCTCCCAAAATCCACAGGAATTCTGTGGCAGCACAGGAGGTTTGGGGAGTCCTGTGCAGGGCTCGATGCTCCCTTCCAGCCTGAGGAATTCCATGATTCCTGATGGCAGCAGCATTCCCTGTCTCCTTTAAAGCTCAAAGTGGGACAATCCCCTCCTACAGACGCTTCCCCAAAAGCCACCACACCCTGTCCTGATGCAATTCCATGGAGGAAAACAAGGAGAACATTCCCTGCTGCCATCCCCTGCAGAAGCTCCAAGAACAGCACTCCAGCAAAAACCTGAGAGAGAGAGAATCCTGTCTGTCTGTCCAGAGAATCTCAACGCCACATCCCGGGATCCATCCCATCCCTGCCAGCAGGAACAGCGTCCCCACCTGTGTATTCCACCTCCACGTCGGCCAAAGCCTTGAGCGTGTTCTCGTAGGAGACCTCGCCGCGCTCCTGGGCTCCCACGCGGTCGTACACGAGCTTGGTGCTCTCGGTCAGCTCGGCCGCCATGGCCTCGATCTGCTCGGCCGTCAGGTCCCAGCGCAGCTGGCTGGCCAAGGGACGCGGGGCCTGGCTGTCCACGACATTCCCTGCAGGCACAGAATTCCAGGGAGGGCCCCAGCGCCCGGGATTGGCGGTGGGATCATCTCCCGGGAGCTCCTCGCCCTCCCGGTGCTGAGAAATGCTTCACCGAAACCCGACCCCGTGCCCGGCCGGGTGTCCCTGCCAAGGCTGTCCCTGCTCGGGGACAAGGCCGAGCGGGGGACAGAGGTGACCTGGCGGCACAGGAGACCCCGGCCGGCTTGAGGGACCGCTCCCGGTCCGGTCCTGCCGCCGCCGCCCCATCGCTATCCCCGGTGTCCCCGCGCCCCCCATCCCGCCGGTACCTGTCGGGGGGGCCATGTCGGCGGTGCCGGGGGTGCCGGGAGACCCCGCGCTGCTATCGAGGCCGGGAGGAAACCGGGCCGGCCCCACGCACCGAGCATGTGCCCCGACCGGAGAGGCGGGCGGGAGAGCGGGGCATGCTGGGAGCCTGGAGGACCGGGCCGCTGCCGCCCGCACCGCACCGCACCGGGACCGGGCAGCGGGGGCGGCTCATCCCCGCCGCGACCCTCAGAACCGGCCGGGAGCGGCCCCGGGGCGGGCGCGGGGCGGGCGCGGAGCATCCCCGGGTCCCGCCCGCCCGTTTCCATGGCAACGCCCCCGCGCGTTGCCGTGACAACGCAGCATCTCTATGGTACCGGTGTGGGCGGGGCTTCCTCCATAGGCCACGCCCATTCTTTTGCTACTGGGAGGGGCGGGGCCGCAGCGGCGCCGGCGCGCGGAGGGCGCGGCGCATGCGCAGTGCGGGAGCGCGCCCGGCCCAGGCGAGTGTCCGGTGAGCGAGGGGGGACCGGGGGACACCGGGGCCGGGACGGGGGCATCGGGAGCGGCCCTCCTCCGGGACCCGTCCGCCTCCAGACCCGCTGGTGCCGGGCCGTGCTTGCCCGCCGGCAGCCGCCGTTCTGCTCCGCCTGGGGGCAGCGGCACCGGGGGGTACCGGGTGCACCGGGGCCTGAGGGGGCGGGACCGGACGGGACGGGACGGGATGTACCGGGAGCGGGCTGTGACCCGCGCTGGGACTTGTGTGTCTCCGGTGCTGCCGGTGCCAGCCCCGGGAGTCGCCCGTCCCGGTCCCGGTGAGCGCACCGGGTCCCGGCGGATTCCCCGGCCGGGAGTCCCCGGTTGCCTCCACCGGGGCAGGGTCCGGGCGATGCTCGCGGGGCTTTGGGGACACCGGGGAGCGGTGCCTTCCCCTCTCCGCCCGGTGGGTCCGGGGGCTGCCGGGGAACGGGAGCCAGGCGGGCGCGGTGCTGCTCCCGGGGCTCTGGGCGGACGGGACCGGCTCAGCTCCGGTGCACTCGCGTTAAACGGAGCTCGTGTCTCCGTTAAATGAGCCTGGCTGTGCTACAAACCCAATTAAAGTGCGGGGAGTTTTCCCTCGGGAGCTGCCCTGGGAATTCCCAGCCTCAGGTTGTGCTTATTGGGTTCTCTGTGGTTTGGGATTTCCCTCGCTGTGCCCTGCCAGGACAGGCTGGTACTGCCCGGGCTGCCAGGGGCTGCCAAACTCCTTCTTGGCTCTGCTTTGGGGCCATCAAAATCCTCCTGAATTCCTCCTGCTCTTGGTTCTGGTTTGGGGCCACCAAATTCCTCCTTGGCTCTGGTTTGGGGCCACCAAATTCCTCCTAAATTCCTCCTGCTCCTGGCTCTGATTTGGGGCTGCCAAACTCCTCCTTGGTTCTGGTTTGGGGCCACCAAATTCCTCCTGCTCCTGGCTCTGGTTTGGGGCCACCAAATTCCTCCTTGGCTCTGGTTTGGGGCCACCAAATTCCTCCTAAATTCCTCCTGCTCCTGGCTCTGGTTTGGAGCCACCAAATTCCTCCTGCTCCTGGCTCTGGTTTCAGGAGCAAGCCATGCTCAGGAAGCAGAAAATTGGGAATTTTTCCTGGTGAGTTCAGGGGATTTCACCCCTTGCAGCACTTCTGGGTGCTTCCCTTGGCGGGGTTGTGCCAGGCAGAGGGTGAATCCACGCCTGGAGAATTCCTAAAGAAAACAAGGAATGTTCTGGAGTTCTTACCCAGCCCTGACCAAACTCCAAATCCATCCTGACCTCCTCAACACCTCCCTGAGGGGCAGCAGCAGCAAAATCCTTTTCCCTTTTGTGTTTCAATCCACGGTTTGTGTCTCTGCAGGATTTTTTGGGAAGCCAGGAGCGGTGGAGCCCAGCATGGCAGACCAGAAGCGTCTGGCCTTCTCCATCATCCAGTTCCTGCACACCCAGCTCCAGAACGGGAGCATGTCTCCAGATGCTCAGGAGAGTTTGGAAGGTGGGCTGGATCTACCTCTGTCAGGCCAAAATTTGGGAGAATTTCACCGTTTTTTCCCTCTTTTCTACCCCTGGCTTGGCTGGGCTGCTCCCGGTGCCGAACCTCGCTGGAATTTTGCAGTTGATTTTTCCTTTTGGGATTTATCCAGGGATGCTGGTGGCTTGTGTGGCTTCTGATCTCTGCCAAGAGCAGCTTAGCAGGAGGCAGGGATGTACCTGGGCTCAGAAGCCTCCCTGATCCCTGCTTGGAGACTCAGAGGGTTCATCCAGGCCAAGCTGGGAGCGCTCCGTGGGGTGGGAGGTGGGAATTCCCTGGCTCCAGGGAAACTTTCTGTGCTCCTGGGGTTGTTCCTGCTCTTTTTCTCCCCAAAATGTCATCCCTCAAGGTTTTTCCAGGCCTTTCCAAAGGGCAGGGATCTTTAAAGGTCTCCTTAAGGAGCTTAAGGTTTAGCCCTTGGTTTGTGGGTTTGTCGCAGTGAAAGGAGCGTGGCTCTGGGGTGGGGGGACATTGCTGGGAGATGGGACTGGGAATGGGATATTTTGGGATGAAGAATGTGGCAGGAGGGCTCTGAGAGGCTCTGATTTTCCCTGGGAGCAGCTTCCCAAGCCTGAGGAGGGAGGAGGTGGCTCGGGGCTCCCAGAGCAAGGGGAATGTTTGGGTCTCTCCTTGGGATTCTGGGCCATTCCCACATTCCCAGCTGTGGGAATGCTGCTGCAGCCCCAGCCTGATTCACTTCCAAGCCCAGGAATCCCTCAGGGAGTGGCAACTGGGACTGGCTCCATCCAGGAGATCCAGAGGGAGGCTTTGCCCAGCTCTGAGTTTTGGCAAAATTTGAAAATACAGCCCAAAAATCCCATCTGGTGTGGGGGAAATATTCGGGTTTTTTTCCTGTTTTTTTTTGAGAGATGAGGGAGAGGGTTGAACATTTACTAATTCATGACCTGACTCTCCTTATCCAGTGGCCATCCAGTGCCTGGAAACAGCATTTGGGGTCTCCATGGAAGACCAAAGCCTGGCTGTGTCCCAGACCCTCCCCGAAATATTTGAAGCCGTGGCAGGGAAGGTGAGTGAAAGCCCTGGGATGTTCCCTTTTCCCTGAGTTCTGCTGGATTTTCCAGGAGGCTGCTGCTCCCCTTAGGGAGTGTGGGAGGGGAATGTTTCGGGCTGGAAAAATTTGTGGGAATTGTGGGAATGCTCAGCTCAGCTTCTGCCTCTCCTTGGAAGGAGCTGGAACACTCCAGAATGAACTCGGAGCCCGTCACCCCCTCAGAAGATGACGTGGCTGAAGCTGAAAGACTCAAGACTGAAGGTACCAACCCCTGGAGCTGCTGGATCATGAGGGTTTGGTGCTAATTGGGAGGGCATCTCAATTCCCTGGCACCTGGAATGGGAGGAAAAAAAAGGGAATGTTTTCTATTTCTGCCTCTTGCTCTGCCTGGGCTGCAGGAGCCTGGGGAGGTTTGGCTGCCAGGAATGTTGGATCAGTGGGATTTTTATCCCAAAAATCCTGTGGGGTGTGGAGCAGAGCATCCATCCTTCCTGCTCTGTGCATGGCTTTTTCCTGGGACAAATGGGATGGGTGTGGGTGCAGCATTTCCCCCCTGAGCCAGCACCTGGGGTGGTTTTGGGAATCAGGAATGGGGGAATTTCCAACACTGCCTCGCTGCTGGCCCTGCCCCACACTGACAAACCTCTCCCCTGTGCTATTTCCATGGATCCAGACCTTTGCTTTGGTTTATCCCAGGTTTTTTTTTCCATCTTTTCCCCACCCTCCTTTCAGGAAATGACCAAATGAAGGCAGAAAACTTCGAGGCTGCCGTGTCTTTTTATGGAAAAGCCATCGAGTTAAACCCAGCCAACGCCGTTTATTTCTGCAACAGGTACTGAGCAGCTCCTCCCTGCTGGCACCCCAGGCTCCAGAATGCCCAAAAATCCCAATTTTTCAAACCATCCTGTGGAGTTTTGGAGCAGTTCCTCGCTCGCTGTGGGATTGTGCCGTGCTTTTGGTGCCTCCTGGGATCTCTGAGTGGGATGTGGGTGTAGAAATGAACTTTATCAGGCACTGGAGGGGTGAGGGATGCCAGGGAATGGGATCTGATTCCATTCACAGTGGGATTTGCTGGGAGTTCAGGGTGGAATGAGGAGCTGGAGGCTCCTCATGGAGAGTTAAGGGAGTTGTGTGTGCAGAATTGGCCATGGAAGAGGGGGAGGTTTTTGTGTTTCTCTGCAATTCCTGGATAAAACAGATTGTGAACTTGAATTTGATGGAATTCCCTGGTTGTGCTGGGAACTCCGACCCACCCCTGAAATGTAAACCCCCTCCCTCCAAATTGCTGTAAATTTTAAATTAAGGGGCTCTCAGGCAAAAAATATGGGAGCAGGACTAACAGTTCTTTAATAGGGAAGAAAATAAAAGGATAAAATAAACAATGCAGTGAACTAAAACAACACTGCCAGAGTCAGAAACCAGCCTGACACCCTGTGGGTCAGGGTGCTGGCAGCAGAACCATTGGAATTGTGGCTCAGCCCTCCTGCAGTGCCAGGGGTGGTTCTGCTGGAGCAGGGATCCTGTAGGAAAGGGTGGAATCTTCCTCTGAAGATCCAGGGCAAGAGGCAGCTGCTGTTCCTCTGGGAAATCCAGTGCAGAAGCTGTGCTGGTGTTCCAGAATCTCCAGATTATATCCGGGTAGGAAGGCTTGAAATATCAGATTCTATCCAGATAGGAATGTTTGAAATCTCAGATTATATCCAGATAGGAATGTTTGAAATCTCAGATTCTATCCAGGTAGGAATGTTTGAAATCTCAGATTGTTTCCAGGTAGGAATGTTTGAAATCTTAGATTCTCTCCAGGCAGGAATGTTTGAAATCTCAGATTCTGTCCAGGTAGGAATGCTTGAAATCTCAGGCTGTATCCAGGTAGGAATGTTTGAAATCTCAGGCTATATCCAGGCAGGAATGTTTGAAATCTCAGATTCTATCCAGGTAGGAATGTTGGAAATCTCAGATTCTATGCAGGTAGGAATGTTTGAAATCTCAGATTCTATCCAGATACGAATGTTTGAAATCTCAGATTGTATCCAGGCAG